TATATAACATATATATAATGTACTTAGTACAGATTTTTCTTTGACAGCCATAGATCAAAACAACAAGAAATGAGAAAGGCTCTCGTTGACAAAGCACGGACGTACCTGCTCAATGCTCGGTTAGGAAGAGAAGGAGGACAAATTTTCGGTGCTTCCGGGATCGTCCTATGCGGGGTACCTGTTTGGAAGAAACAAAACATGCATACGTCAAAATAGCAAACTTTTAAGACATTGACAAACCAGGACTCTACCTCAGAATTACCTGTACAAAGTTCTGACATTTTTGGCCGGGTTTTTTTTTAGTTACTAAAACCATGACGTTAGAAACCAAATGTTCTTTCTATTCTTGCAAAATAGAAAGCAAATGTTCTATATTATTATATTCTTGCAAAATCGGACGACTATTCAGAGCCGTCATCAAGATATTTAAAGAACTGCATTCGAAAAAGTTTGACATGTCATTGTGAGACAACATTTTTTACGTTAAATTTCTCAAATCTAGGAACTGAGCAGATAGAGCTCTGTAATTGTAGGTCAGCGAGGAAGCAAAATATAAACATTTTGGTGGTCAGGATTTCTCAACGCATTTCCCCAGCAAGCAGGTTAAAAATTCAGCTTTTAGTTGTAGTACAAGTTTTACGGCACTTGCAACACAATAAGGTTATAGAAGTGCCGAAGAATAGATTAGGTGTTTTATGCGATCGAGAAGAAGAAGAAGATTAGGTGTTTTCAAGAGAGTAACATACACAAAAAAGCAGGAGGGGGGACAGGACGACAGGTGTTAAATAGAAATGAAGGAGCACACCACACCAGAGCACCCGCTTACCACCCACTCACGCATGCTAAAAATTCAGAAATGGTGATGAGACACGACTACGGCTATGTTCCGCCATACGCTCTAAACTCTAAACAAGCACAGACTGGTGGACTTTTACACCGCCTGATACTACAAGCATCGTGATTAGTTTAAGTAAAGAGCTCGCAGGTCCTCGTAGCAACATCAGTGCATACAAGAGCCAAAGACTTGAGGACTTACTTTTTTCTTTTTTTTTGTAAGTGAGTTACGGCACTTGCAACACAATAAAGTCATATACGTGCCGAAGATTAGAGGTGTTACAGGAGAGTAACAAACATGAAAAAGGAGGGGAGATAAAGACGATAGATGTTTGATAGAAAAGAAGAAGCAAAGCACACCAGAGCACCCGCCGACCACCCACTGATGCACTATTAAACCCCAGACACTACAAGCATCGTGATCGATTAGTTAAGTTAAGTAAAGAACTCACAGGCACTCGTAACAACATCAGTGCATACAAGAGACAAAGACTTGAGGTCTTACTAAAGTGTTACATTACAAACAAACAAATTTTTAATGTAGGAGGCGAGATAAGGACGATTGATGTCTTTTTTTTTGGGGGGGGGGGGGTAGATGTTTCACAGAATTTGCAACACAGTCACTTATCCAAGTGCTGAAGAGTAGAGGTATTACATTACAAGTGAGTAACAAACTCAAAAGGAAGGAGTAGAGATCAAGACGACAGATATTTAATAGGAAAGAAGGGTTAAGTCCACAAGAGCACCCGCCAACCATCTGCCGACAGATGTCTCATAGGGAAACAAGGAGAGAACCACGCCACAGCACCGGGGGGCCACCCACTGAGAACCCCCTGATACAACAGAAAGCATGCCAGTATCTGATTATTGGGGGGTTTTTAGTAGAGGTTTTACGGCGCTCGCAACTGCATAAGGCCATATGAGCGCCAGAAGATTAGAGGTGTTACAAGACAGTAACAAACATAAAAAAGAAGAAGGGGGGATAAGTCGATAGATGTTTCATAGGAAAAAAAGAAACAAACCACACAAGAGCACCAGCAAACCACCCACCCAGTATCAGAGATAAAATGGTTTGATCGACACAAGTAAAAAAAACAACAATTTAAAAATCAAAAATTGAAAAAAAAAACCCGCACATGTCCGGCAAATACAACAGACGCAAGAAATAGTGCTGGGCAATGAGTCTCTTTAGCAAAATCCGGTTAATATGTTAATGCACCTCTTCGGTAAATAATAGTTTGCAGGCTTGTCAACTTTTGAGACACTGAATTCTGGAATTTTGATTGCTCCTGAGCGCCACGGACACACACTTCTACTTCTGTGATAGGCTACTAAAAAAAAAAAAACACCCATACCACAAAAACATCTCAAACAAACCAGTGGAGAAGAGAGAGAGAGAGAGAGAGAGAG